AGACAATTTAACATAAACGTTAGCACAACAACAATAGCAAATTACCTCGAAGGCAGATTGTTCTCATTAAAAAAAGTGCACAAGGAGCCTTCTACAATGAACAGTTATGAAAACAAACAAAAAAGAGCTGAATATGTTAGAAACATCAACGAACGTATCACAAATGGTCGTCAGATAGTTTGGTTGGATGAAACAAATTTTAACCTTTTTTGTAGAAAAACGCAAGGACGCGCGAGACAAGGAAAAAGAGCAATTATGAAAGTACCTGCTTCAAAATGTTTAAACATACACTTGATCGCAGCTATTTCAACTACAAATGTCGTCATGATAGAAACTCGCAGGGGATCATTTAAAGCAGATTCCTGTAACGAGTGGATGTTGGCTATGTTTCACCAGTGGGTTACATCCGGGAATCGTTTGGAGGATTTGGTCGTCGTAACAGATAATGCTCCTTGTCACGCTCGTTTGCAAAGGGTGTTTGATAATTCACCAGCTCAGTTGTTACGGTTGGGACCTTACAGTCCAATGTTGAACCCGGTGGAAACGATCTGGTCCAAAATCAAAAGTAACGTTAAAAATGCAATTCGCATTCCACCTGTATTAGGTGACGGGATTGCGGAACAGTGCATGCAGTACTTAGAACGAATTGTAATTGAGGCGAAAAATACTATAATGGGAGGAGATTGTGCACGTGCGGTACAACACACAACCACGCACTATGCAACTATTTTAAATATGGAAGACGTACAAGTTGGTGCTTAAATGATCAATGAAGTGATTTTTAATTATATAATTTTTAATTATAATTTTTAATTGAATTATAAATTTTTCCCTAAAATGTTTTTAATGTTTACTATGTTAAATTCGTTTGCCCTAAAATTATAAATTTTTCCCTAAATTTTTCCCTAAAAAATTAAATTTGCGCTACAAATCTTGCGTCATTTTTAAGTGCGTCATTTTATACGCTCCGTTTTTTTACGCGCCATTTTTTTTAAGCGCCATTTTACACTTACTCCTTTAAAGCGATATCTAAATTAAAATTTTCGTGTTCTCAATTACATCTTTCTATTTCTTAATTACAACTTACATTTTCTCAATTACATGTTACGATTCTTAATTACAATTTTCGTTTTCTAAATTACATCTTATGTTTCTTAATTACAACTTACGTTTTCTCAATTACATCTTACGTTTCTTAATTACAACTTTTGTTTTCTCAATTACATCTTACGATTCTTAATTACAATTTTTGTTTTCTCAATTACATCTTGAAAAGGTGTAGATCATAAGGCTAAAAGACGTCTTTTCTGAGACCTGTTTATAAATATGTCATTATGACTTCTTTTTGACGGCTTTGTCATTACGCGTTAAGTAGATGTCGTTTATTCAAAGTAAAAACATAGTTTTTATTATTTTCAATAATTTGTTCAAGTTTTAAGTGTTAATTACTTTAAATTAAATTACTTTTTTACACAATTGCTAAAACTGTTGTCACAGGAATCACTAAAACAATTGCTATAATATTAATATATCTTTTTTTTATTAATAATTATTTTGCTTTTTTAATAGATAGTTTACTGATCATGATAATAAGTGAAAATGGCAAGAATAATAAATAACTTAAATATCAGTATTTTTAGTTTTTATACACCCACAAGCCATATAATAAGTCAAGTATGCGGTCAAAAATTAGCTAGGTCTATGGATAACAAGTTATATCATAACAAAAATTAAGTTATAAATGTTTTAAATACTGTTTTGATATATATTTGCCATTGTTATTTATTATTTTCATCTTTGATGCATCAACCGCTAATGTTGATTACAGCAATATTATTTAGATTGCTGGTTCCCATGTAATATCTTGTATATACGAAATTATAACAACATATATCGTTATGAGTAAAATGAATATATACCACATCCTATGCGAAAATGTTACGTCATGCACTTAAATTCATCTTGAAAAATACGTCTAAAACGCGTTTTCATTTAGACGTCTTTTAGCCTTATGATCTAGACGTCTACAAGTGCGCCTTTTAGACCTCCTTAAAGACATCTTTAAAACGTCTTTTAAACGTCTTTGTGCTTACTGGGTAGTCTTAACTAAACTAAGTAAATAAATTTAAAATACATAAATTTAACAATTTAACAACTTTACTGGTCTAACCCTAAATCAGAGAAAAACTAATAGACAGTAAAATACCTAATAGTGGCAATGCTATATTATATATATTAGCGTTTTTCACAGATTTCGGGTTAGACAAGAAAGATTGTTGCATAGATTTATAGTTTTGATAATATTGAAATAATGGATTTCATGAAGGTGATTATTTAAAGTTAAAACTGGAACCTCATCATTTGAATGATGTTTTTTAATATTGACAATCATGTTAGCATTTTACAACAAACATTACAATATTATTTTTAACTAAAGACTTACTTGCTTGAGATAATGGAAATCCATAATGTTTATCCTTTTTATTTAAAAATGATGAAGATTGATGTGTCTTAAAATGAAGTCTTAGTCATCACAATCAATATCATCTTCATCTATTACTTTTTGACCTACACAACACAAACATAGAGAATATTTGAATTTCATCTAACAACTTGTCTTCTCATGTAGCAATTTTACAATTGAAAATTTTTTACAAATTACTTTACAGATTAATAACTTTTTAAGTAAAATAGGGTATACAGTATGGTATATAATATTTAGGTTTCATACTGCTAAATATTTGGTAATAACACCAGAATATCATTAAAGAATAAAAATTTAAAATGACATTTTGAAGTAAGTCACTCCCTTTCTTGAAACAAATAATCATATTTTTTCCTTTCAGCCATTTTAACTACAGTAATTCCTGTATAAAAACCACTGATATTATCATTTTTAATTTTTAGAGTTAAAGAAGAAAAACTCTGAGAATGTGTTCCCTTTTCTCAAATCCAAATAAATTTTTTAGCATTAAAAGCAGTTGATAATTACGTAGAATTAAAAACTTAACCTAGTTTTTATAAGCAATCAAGTTTACTCAACAATTAAGTTACTTAATAGAGAAAAAAAAAATCTAGTTAACCACACCATAAAAACTTTATTAATCTTATCTACTTGATTCAAGTAGAAATACAAACACATAGTTTCAACGAAGGCATACAACTTTAAACTAAAAATACTCCAATACATTTTCAAATTTAATTCTACAAGAAAAGAATACAAACAATACACTTGGTTGATTTAAATATATACTAATTTATATAATTTATACTTAAATAAATCAATTCGCCTGATCGAAGGTCACGCCATTATTTGCGTAAACATACTCTTTTAGATATTGCCGTGCTGTACGTTTAAAAAACGTTTTTTTATCACGTTAAAAAAACGTTTTAAAAACGTTCATAAGCTAACTGAGAAATTTCGTAAGTTAATAAAAAAAAAAAAAAACGTTTAAAAAACGCTAAAAAAACGTTTAAATTTAACATTAAAAAAAACGTTTGCAAAAAAAACGTTTTAAAAACGATTGTATTGGTTCTTTTAACGTCCGACCGTAAATTGAACGGAATTAAACGTTTTTAAAACGTCCTGTGCTTACTGGGTTGATTCAACGTTGAAAGCACGTTGTTTTTGTGACTGTAACGCTTTTTCTCCGCTGCGACTGGTTTTCAACGTTGATTCAACGCTTACATGTTTGCTGGGTTGAAACCAAAAAACAAATATGAACTTCGTGATAGTAAAAATATTCAAGAGCCGTTTTGCAAAACAAAAATTGACCAGTTTTGTATTTCTTATCATGGTCCATTTTTTTGGAATGAAAAAGTTTTACCTAACTTTGATTTTTCTTTTAAATGGTCTTATTCCACATTTAAAAAGAAAACAAAAGAAATAATCTTTTCAACACAAAATATATTTATTTATTTTTAGTATTTCAAGTTATTTGATAATTTTGTCGTCTGTGTGATGAATGTTATTTAAACAATATATGCTGAATACTTTATATTATAATATTGTTTAATATTGAGAATATTATTTATCCATATATAAAAAATTATGTTAAAACTTGCTTAACATCTGAAGAATTTTCTAACGCTTATGTAATTTTTAATATTTGTAAATTTTCTACCTTTTTATTCGTTATATAGATTGTGAAGGTCTTCATAAAAAGATCATGATTCTGGAAGTCCTACCAGTAAGATAATCAATGTAAATTTACCTTGTTCATAATTTTCTTAAAAAAAATTATGAACAAGGTAAATTTACATTGATTATCTTACTGATTACTGATTATATATAAAAATTTATATATACATATATATATATATATATATATATATATATACATATAAATACACTGAAGCAGGAATATTTATGTATATTATTTATAAATATTCATGCTCCAATGTAT